ACAACAGCACAGGAGACTCACTCCAGGCCAGATGCAGCAGTGTAAATGTATTGTTCAGCATTCTTAATTTTACATAGGAGTACTTGCAACACCTTCTTCATTTGGCTTTAGTCAGTACTTATCCCTAATCTGCATCTCCAGCCATGCCATTATTCCTTTAAACCCTCACATTGGTTGTCCCTTCTCAATCACATCAAACATGAGCTGGATGCTTTTACTGCCAAAGCCCAAAGCAGTTCTAATAGCATTTCTCATGTAACAAGAGATGTACTTCTATCCTTGATCAGCTCACAGTGCTGGCATCCATACTGGGTATCTGCAGGCATAACATGTTTTCCATTCTGCTGTGAAGGAGCAGCTAAAACAAACCAGAAAACCATAGCACCATCCTCCTTGAAATCCTCCTTAACTCTACTGTACTACAGTGCTGACAAATGCTTGCTGCTGATTGGGATCCCAACAGACTTCTGTTATCCATCAGTTCTCCTTTTCCAAAGCCATTTGTTCTATTGGCTTAAACCTTCGAAGAAAGCTCACTGCTATGAAGATTCACTCTTCTGGCAGGAAAGGAGTGAATAATTTATGATACTCTACACATTGTGCTGGGTTCTCCATCTCTAGGCAAACTCGAGAATGGTAGTTCTTCTAAAGGATCTCCATAAACCAGAAAGGAGTTCTATCAGGGATCTCAGTTTGTTACAATTCTCATTTAATTTAAACACCTCACCAAAGGCAACTGCCCTTGTGATTGGTAACTGGGCAGGAGCTGCACTGGTGGGCTACTCTGCTCCCATAACACAGCAACAGTGTGTTGACCTGTTCTCGCTCAGCTCTTACCCTGTTACAAGCATTTTGGCAAGCCACTGGAAGTAAACTATTAGTAATGGATTAACAATACCCATGGTATAGCAGCTGGCAGTTTGATATAATGGCATTTTATTCCTTTTTTCCATATGGTGCTACCTTTACAATTATTATCTATACTCTGATTAACCATGGCTTTTCACTTTGTTTGCAGAAAAAGAGTGGCAAGTGAACTGATGCACTAGTTTTCTGTATTCTAGTTTAACTCAAACTCCTGAGAGCTTCTACTTACTGGGTTTAAGATTTTTTTTCTTCTTTCTGAAATAAGCCCCATCATAAATAAAAGCATCCCAAGGACTTAAAAAGAGAATTTAGATATTTGTGCATCCCACTTTTTTTTTCTCTTAACGTTAACTTTAAATGATCAAAGGTAAGTGCAAAATCTGAGTCATTTCAGGAAAATTTTAGATCAGCAAACATAGCTGCCAACTAAATCACAATAATGCATCATGACAATATTTTTGTAATTCTTTTGAGTTATCAGTGTCTGGTTAGCAGGTTCAATTAACATCACAGACAAAACATTTAGAAGATGATACTCAAAGTATACCACTTTTCCTGCAAAGATCCAGAATTTCACAAATTATCAGTTTATTTAATGATTTTTCCTGTGTTAAAAGATTGAGGGAAAGGAAAAGGCTAAAATGACACCTCTTCTGAGAAGCAGATTCCAAGCACAAGCCACTCTCCACTCCCACATGATTTTACACTAGATCAAGAAAAGGTTCTACATGAAAATAAAGATGAATCAGGTTCACTCAGTCTGGACTGTGCATAACCAGGATCTGTACAAGTTGCATCAACTAATCTGCAGGTACTTTTTAACAACAGAGCTGAAAATAGAGCCTGAAATCCACTGGAAACTGTAACATTCCTCCTTCTCAAATACGCTGGAGTCTAAATTTCTTCACACTGAAATAGAATTAGATTTAGAAACATTTTCACAGTGTTGAAAACACTATATTCTACTATATATATAGTATTATAGAATATTATACAAATAGAAATCAGCATATAATAATGATGCAAAAATTCAACTTGCATGCTCATAAGGGGAGACTGTAGAGCATGCCTGTATCGTCATCAGGTTTAGTGTGTCCATAAATGGATACTAAATGGAATAGTCTGGGACATTTGTAATCCAGCAATCATGGTTGCTGGAAAATATGAGGGAAATGGACTGCAAAAGTTGGACAACAGATTCTTCCTAAATAGCATCTTCTAGTGCCACCACAGTACATAGAAAGTTGAGCTACATGGACCATTGGCCTAACTCAGCAGGACACTGCAAATGTTCTTGAAATGTTCATGTACACACTTCAGGGGGAAAAAAAGCAAACACCTAAAAAGAATATTTGTCAGTCTTCTTAGCATTCAGCAGAGTGAAAGGGATGTATTTCTGTACCACTTCTTGGCAATTCCCTTTACCTCTCCAGAAATGAGAGGTTTCTACAATATGCTTTGATATTAGAAAACTGTATTTTTGAGTGAAAGGTCATTCCTTTCAAAATTTTTCCTCAATAAGATAAGATTTAACCCATTAAATAAGTTTTTTTACTGTAAAAATAATGCATGTTCCCTCCATTTCCTAAAAAATATATTGATGACTATAAAATACACTCGTGTGCTTACATGACTCACAAACCCAAATTCATCTCAAAAAGGGCATGCATAATTTTGCATCTTTTAAGAAGCATCTCAGTCCATTTTCAAAGTTCTACCTGATCTCTGCAGGAAGTGAACTACAGAAATATGTTGCATTATGGTTTACAGCAGCAAGTAAAAGCTGTGTAATACCTCGCCCCTATCTCGCTGTGCTTTTCAGCATTCACTCTTTCTTGCCTAGGCTGTTCTTTGCACCAGGCACGGCCTGTGCCATTTGTTCTCCCCACCTGTCATGACCTACATGCTCACCTGTAGGGGCCTGATACAATTCCTCTCTGCTCCATCTTCCATCAGATGATTTCCAACTATCTCAGGTAATCTCCCTTCTGAACTAACATCCAGAGCAGAAAGAAATGAGCTACAGGACAGTCTGCCTCAGCTGTGTCATCATGCTGCTGTCTGCTGACATCAAACATTCGTCCCAAGTATGGGATTTCTTTCCAACACAGACTCAGTAGGACAGTTCCTTCTGCCTGCCTCTCTGGACACACAGAGCAAAGCTTAATACACCTGGCAGGAATCCTCCCTCCTGCAACATTCTGTATTATAAACATGATTAGAACATGCAAGCAGGAGCAGATGTTCAGTTTATCTGAGTGCAGCCTACAAAAAGAAAGTCTGAAACTGAGAGTCAAGAGTACAAGCATCTGTACAGAATGACTTCTTGTTTCACTTTCAATTCCATAGGTAATTTTCTTAAAAATACACTGTGTAGGACATCTTAAAAAGCTGAAGATTTTTTCCTCTAGGAAAAAAAATCCAAACCCAAACATCTAAATATGGATTCAAACACTCCAGTGAATAAATTGGTTGGTAACCTGCAGTGGTGATTCTAAAGGCATTACTAAATGCTGAGTTTTACCATGTATCACAACCCATTCCTAGTGGAATTTGAGAAACTTTCTCTCCAAATCATCCTGCCCATGGATCCCTATCAAAGAACACAAAATGGAGACGATGAAAAGATATTAGTTCTTATAAAGTGCAGGACACCTTAATAGCTGCTGTGAAAAGCAAACTGCAACAGCCCTGTAAAGCTGCACACAAGCTGATAAAAAGATGCCACTTGAACAGAGAAATCTGTTTTATGACAGTTTTCTTTCACATACACTATTATTAATAGGAAAGCTTCACCAAAGTCAATACTGAAATTTATATTTTCCTACTTATGCATATCTACACACACCAGCTGAAATCCATTGCATTCATAAATCTACACGTGCAGTGACAGAAAACATCCAAGACTGTTCCACACACTCCATATTTGTATATGTACAGCTTGGCATAAAAAGAGTACATATAAAACATACTCCACATGTAGGCTCATGTATTTCACATAAAGAACATCATTCCTTGTGAAATATAAAAGTTAAAATAGAAACACCTTTTTTTTGCTTCCTCCCAGTCTGTTTCAGCCTGGCTGCTTGGCATCCATCCTTTACAGCCAGAAGTTTCACAGATGGGAGTTTCCAATGCCCAGCAGACACAACAGAAGCCGGATTTGCCAAGATTCTCACTGCACAAAGACCTGATACTTTTTGATGTCAGTCTAACCTAATAATTTGTTATGATTTGCCATGCAAACCATTCATAAAAACATCTTCCAATGGAACACATAAGAATTTGGAATCGATTTTTTTTGCTGATAGCTTATTTCTAGAATTTGATATCATTGTATCATTGAGATATTTGGTAGATTTGTATTTACTTAGCTGACAAATCATAAAATACAACCAATTCTTCAATATCAACCTTATCAAACCCTGATCAAATGACAGCCAAAGTCTTGATTCTTAGGAAAAGCACTCTATTCTTGTTAGAGATGTTCTTCATTTTCCTCTGGATACAAAAGGGAGTTTTTACAGACCAGGCTGAACCTCTAGAAACTGTCATGATCAAGCTCTTTGCTCACAGATTACTCAAAACTAGGGATAAACATACCTTGCTCTGAACTTAATTTGAGGAAATCCTGCTGCTGTCAACAGCATTTGGGCAATAGCTGGTTTTATGGGCTTATTTATCTATTTGTGTATTTACATCCCACAGAAATAAAAATAATTCAGTGAAATAATTTCTATAATTTCATTTGGAAAAAATCGAAAAATGGAAAAAATACTGTGATCTTGAACTGCTATGTCATATGTTAATGATTTTTAAAGAAATGCTACTACAAGAAGATTCCCATGGCAAGCCTTTCACCAAAGAAATATTTTAGGTAGCAAATCCTATGAGTTTATTAGAATTTATATCCTGATTCTGAAGGCACAGGACTATCAGTGTAATATCAAGATAAGAACGCTAAACAATTTAATCAGAACAGTAAAAAGACTAAATAATAGCATTTATCACTTTGCAAGCAACCACTCTTAAAAAAGAATTACACAAATGACTTGCATCTCATTCATTGAGTTCATACTCAACATGAGAATACCAACTGGAATATAAACCTCCTGGTTTTCTGTTTTATTTACCTCAAGAACTAGCCAAAGCTGGTCTCCATTTTTCACATCTTTCTTATAGTACATGCCGTAGAATTTGACTACATTGGGATGATCAGACAGAGCTTTCAAAATGTTGTACTCAGCTTCAATTTCTTCATCAATATCCTAGTGTCACAAATGAGAAATACATAGCAGTTAACAAAGAAATAATGACAGCCATTAAAAATAAATATTTTCTGTAAATTCAAATTTAGTTTGAAGCGATACAAAAAAAAAAAAGCAAATAGAACATGAATATACCATTTAGAGAACAACAAAGCCTGGATCTGTTTAGTGAATACAAAACAGTTATTTTTTTAAATTTTATTTTGTCTTTATCAATTTCAACAAATGAACACATGGGGCATGACAAAGCAACAGGATGAGAGGCTACTGACAGAAACTGATGCACAGGAAGTTCCACCAGAATATGAGGAAAAAATTCTTCACTGCATGGGTGACAGAAGACTGGAACAAGGTTCCCAGTGAGGTTGTGGAATGTCCCTCTCTGGAGAGATTCAAGAACTCTTTGGATATAACCCTGTGCCATGTGCTCTAGGAAGACCCTGCTTGAGCAGGGAGGTTAGACCATACAACCCCACCACTGGTCCCTTCCAACCTTAACTATTCTGTGAGGTCAAGGCAAAGCCAGTGCAATCCACAGATGCCTTGGAAATTATGTGTTACTGCTTTAGTCTTAATGGTAACCCCAGCTAGAAATGGTGCCGTTGGAACTACCTTTTTATCTCTCTGTGCATGAACAAGTATGACTCCAGCCACATCTTATTCATTTACTATCCCACTTTCTAAAATTATCTGGGGATTCTTCTCATTTTCTACTGTCACAGAAGCTGGTGACACTCATGGTCTCTCTAGGTTCTGTTACTAACTATAACAATTGTGGCTTTTTGTCACACTCTAATTACAGACCTTGGGTTTCTTAGTGAGGGAAATCCTTTTGGAGGTGAGATATGAGGACCAGTTTTGCCAACAGATGCACTGGGATCTACAAATCCCTTCAGATCAAAAATGGATGCAGGCATTCACAGGCTTTAGCAGGCACTGGATGACTCAGGTAAACCTTTCCCACCTGTGCACTGGAACTGCTCATTGAGGGATGATGATTACACTGCATTTGAGTCATGCTGACAAAATATTCAATCCCTCCTGACAACAGATAAAGGAAAATATCTGCAAATATTTGCATTTTCCCCTCATAGTTTAGATCTAAAAAAAAAAAAAAGTTAACATACTTGTTTCAGATGTAAAACATTTTAAATACAATTTGTTATTTACAACTAGACAAAAAGAAATGAAAAATCCATTCTAGTAGAAGGCTCCCTTATGAACTGCACTTTCCATATGAATGGATTTCATAGCAGTGAAAAGCATCTACTCTGTGCCAAAAACCTGTCTCAGCAAAGCCAAATAGAAGTGACGGTGGCAGAGACAGGGGATGTTTTGTATTTCCAGTGAATGATGCTCCTTCTCATTCTGCTCAACACACCTGCCCCAAGAGCACTTTGCTCACTTGTTTCTTATCCAGGTCTCTCCCACATCCTTTTCAAGTTCCTCACACGAGCCTTTTGTCTTGAGACCACCTTGGTCTCCAAGAACTTCCTCTGTCACCAGGATCTTCATGAATCAGGCCATTAAATTTTCATATTAAGATTACCAGGATAAATCTTCTCACAAGGAAGGATTTTAGAGATCCTGTTATTGGAACAACTGAAAAAAACCAGGAATTCTCCTCTTTCTAAAAAAAGGAGGAACTCACTTTAAGGTAATTTTCCCGTAAGCAAAACAGATAATACAGAAAAAAAAATACAAGGAAAGAAGAAAGAACCAAAATACTGAAGGTGGCAGAGAAAGGAAAGAGAAAAAGTGAAAGCAGGGATGAAGACAGAAAACGCATTTGGCAAAAAGAAAAGAAAGAAAAAAAATACAGTAAAAAGCCAAGAAATTAAAAACAAAGCATACAATAGTTTTGACTGCCTTGGGGAAATTGGAAGAGAATTAGCCCACTGGCCTACTGTGAATTAATAGAGGTTTCTGTCTCCTGAGGGGTACTCAGATTTTTTAAGATTTTTACAATTATAAGGAGAAATTAATTTAATAAGATATTCATTCTGTGCCTACTAAAAAGAAAAATATTCCTCAGTATTTTATGAAGGAAAAATCTTGAAATATTTGGTTCAATTTAGCATATTTACCTTCATAAAAGAACTGTATTAGAAATGGCAGACTGAAAATTTTCATCCTATATATATCGGATAATTTGGCTAGAAGTTCTGCAGTACAATGGTATTTACTTATAGACCTTAGGACAAGACTAAGTCTTCTCAGTGCCACCTTCATATATTCTCATTTCAACACCTTTGCTTTCCTGTTTCAGTTTCAAAAGCCAAGCTGTTATCCTGCAAAAAGAGTCTGTGCTCTAAAGGACTAAACATTAAATGCTTATTTCAGTCTTGTATCACCCATGATAATGTCAGTTCCCAGTTTAATTCTGAAATATCAGTTAAACCAAAACACATTTCTTCTGCTTTGTTTCCAGTCTACTTCTCAAGAGACACAATTCTGAGACAATCTCCAAAGAAAAAGAACTGTAAAATGCAAAGAAGAAAATACATAAAGTATCTTTTTCTTCATTGCAATGGCTCCCTCTGCAGCCATTAATAATATTTTCAGTTTAAATAAAAATAACTCATTTATTGCTTTCACTTTACTTCCAATATAGGATTGTCATTTTAGCAGTAACATGGAGGTACAGCAGCTATTCCAGACACCCTGTAAATAGAAGAGTGCAAAGAAGAATAGTATTCTTAGAATAAAAAGGGTAAAACAGTTAAGAATCAAGTCTTGGAAGAGTGATGTTGACTGCACTACTGCCATTTTAAAATTAAAATAAAGTACCTGTTTTTATCAGTTACACATTTGCCCATCTTCAATTTCTTACATTGCATCTTTATCCATTCTATTTCTTATATCTCCTTTACATTCTATTCCTTTTTCCAGCTTAATCTATTCTTCTTTCCTCTAGCATCAGCTTTACTATTTCTTTTTTCTTCCTATCATCATCCTTTAATCTTTTTCTGCAACCTCCAAAGTGTACAGAACATTGAAAGTTTCACTGATTCCTTCAGGAATTCCTCCCATAGCCAACTGCCACTTAAGAATCACTCCTGAAAACTTCTGAAGCATAAGAAAGCAAAAGAATTTCCTGCCAAACAAGCATTTAGATGAACACCAGTGGCAGGAAGTCATGCCTATTTATTGTAAGCACAAGAACCTTATTTACAGAAAGTAATAGAGTCAAAAATAGTTTCCAATACATTTGAACTCATCAAGATGCTTATCACTTGGCAAGTTATGTTTACTTTGGAATAGGTTGTGGTATTGAATCGAGATGAGCACCCTTTTGTTGCTTTGAAAGCATGCTGAAAGAAAAAGCAGATCAGCAAGAAACACAGCAAAGAATGGAAGACACCACGTTTTCACCAACATATTTCACAGACTTTTGTGTCTATGGGATCATAATCTGATACTGTGTGATGTGCAGAGGTAGAAGAGCCCTATGTGGCTGTGCAGCTCCACACCTGTAGGGTCCACACAGCATGGCATGTTCACCCATTCCTCCCCAGAGGTCATGCCATGGAAGCACACACCTCACAAACCTATACTGGGACTACAGAAGATGAACTTAAAAGGGCCTCCGAAATAGGAACAGCTGCTTTCCCATGTTTTGTTCTCTAGAAAAGTCCCAAGCCATGTGCAGCACCGCTGGTCAGTGGGGTGTGCCTTTACAAACCAGACTAGTGTTCTTCCTTACTCTTTGAGCATTAATCTGCCACCCAACAACTGTCAGTTATTGAGAACAAAACCATGCTCTACAACTTCATATTTCCACCTCCCAGTTGTCTGGTGCTTTGTGTGTAGAGCTAATCTCTTTGCATTTTCCATTTGAAAAGACAGGTTCCTCTGTAAGACCTATATATTTTGGCACATTCTGAAAACACAGAATGAACAATAAAGTATGCTATTTTATATTTGAAGTACAATTCATAGCATGTAACTCAGCTAACAAGAGTGTACTCAGATGCTTGAAGGTACAGCGTAAGTACTTAGAAGTACATAACTTCCTCACTGGCCAGTATGTCAAAAACTTAAAAAAAAGGAAAGGAAAGAACAGTAAAAATAGAATAAACTACGGCTCCTAGTACTGAACAGGAAAATAATCAGCTCTGCTTCTGAAAACAAGAGAAAAGGGGTAACAAAAGTAACAAAGTTTAGGTATATTTCTGACTTTTACCATAAACAACCACTTCCATAATCATTTACAATGAGAAAAATGCATTGATAGCTAGCCTGATATGTAGCAGGCTGAAATAGTTTATTTCACTGTCACTTCTAATACAAATAATCTACAATGATTAAGAGAAAAAATGACTACATAAATTCACAATTCACCAAGTAATTTAAGTAACTTACATGAACAGGATCCAAAATTTTGACTGCTGCTTTGCTGCCATTTTTCTTATTTAACACCTTGAAAACTTTTCCATAAGTTCCTTTGCCAATAGTCTCAATTATTTCCCAAGTATCTGAAGGATCAGGAAAGCTATCAAATATTATTGTTTTCCCAGTCAACGGAAGCATCTCAAATGATGGCTCCTAGGAAAAAGAGATGTTCACTCAGCAAATGGTTAATAGCAATTTGTTTTCTAGAAATGGGAAGAGAAATACACATTCTAGCCTCAAACACTAGAAATGTTTTTGCATATAGTGTGCGTGCACTGACAGCATAATGAACAAGAACTGCTGCACTTGAATTTCCCTTCATTTGATATTGTGCTGACTGCACAACATCAAATGAAGGTATGTGCAGTCAACTCAGTATCAAATGAAGAGAAATTCAAATGATAATTTGAACCAAATTCAAGTTTGAGTGAAGCCAGTGGAAGCTTTCCCATACACTTCAATGAATATATATTGTCACTCTGGGATCTTTCAAGGGACAAGAGAATGGGAGTGAAGTTCATAAAATCCCAAATAATTTATGTCCATTACTAAGAATTAGGCAAGAAGTGGAAAGAAACCCACACAAAACATCTTAAATAGTAGCCTTAGGATAATTCAAACTCTTACAGCCAACAATTGTTTTTACAAGCCTACTCTTAGGATTTGAAATATGACAGATCTCAAAAGGCCAAGCAGATCACAGTCACAAATTTTTTCACAATGCTATGGTCTTCTGACAGTCAAGTGCTCTCAGTCATGGAAAACATGCTTACCAATGTACATCCTTTAACAATCGGTTTACATACTGTAAATGACTGAATTGTATCCATCACTGACCAGGCTACACCAACACCCTGGCCCATGACAGACAGAATTCACCAGGAAACTTGCAGAGTCTGTTGTGTACTTGGTACCACAGCCAGCACTGGCCCAGCTCCTTGATTCCAAATACCGTGGGAATGAAATGACCCAATTTTACCTTATACAATGAAATCTCCCTTTACGCTACTGCAGGTTAAGGTGAAAGTAAAGATCAAGATCCAGAGACATACAGCTGTAATAAGCATATCCTCAGTTTTCCATTCCAGATTCAAAATTTGCTTCTTTCTTCTGTCCCACAGGATTCACAATGACTCAGCTCAGTCAGGACACTGACTGTAGTCTCTTCCTAAGGCATCACCTTATTCCTAGTCTTTATCCATATCTTGGGAACTTCACCACATTCAGGCAAAGCCGTTTCTTCCCCTCCAAAAAACCAAAAATGAGTCATAATTTTCTTTTTCTTTGCCTTTAGTGTTCAAACACAATCATTCTGTTGGGTTTTTTTAATTACTTCATTTATAAATGCTTTGTAATTAGCTTCTGCACTCTGCTGTAATTAGGGGACTACATGAAACAATAATTAAATTTGAGATGATAAAGGGCTGAGGATTCATAATCTCAAACCCTTGCTTTGAGGGTTTCAATAATGACAGAATTTCAAATTTTCTCTATCTAAGCTTCAGTTTTTTTGAGGCTAACTATTTGTTTAAGATCTTACTGGATACTAAACCTGTAACTAGTGACATTTTTTATAAGAGGAAAAAAGTAAAAAGGTATCCTTGGTTACCTTAAGAACTGAGGCATTCAAACCATTTTGAATGAAGCCTGTCTACATACAGGCTATTTTCTTCGGAATATGAAAATTTCCATCTAAATCTAGAGTCTGCTATGTCTCACATTACAAGAAAACACAGAAGCTTCTGACCCAGGCAGTAGGAGATATGCAATGCTGAAGAAAAGAAGATTTAATTCCTCCCTTTCAAAGATGAGCACTTCTGACACTGGAACTCAAAGAACAGCTTCACATATTTTGAGTGTGCCAGAGACGAGCAGGGAACTCTGACACCTTGAATCTCCAAATAAGCAAAGGTCCACCCTGCTGCAGGGATGTTTTAAATGGAGCAGAACACTCTGAGAAGCAACATTCCAACTTAGTGCTTCAGACAGCCTCCCAGGCTTCACTAACTCCCTATACATTGACAGAATGAAGCTGAAATTCACTGACTCCCAGTATCAATTGCTTATTTGTCTGCAGAGACTGGTACAATGAGAACTGTTAAAGGACTAAGGAAACATGATCCTGCAGGTGCTATCTGCCTACCAGAGAAAAAGTACTAGAGAAATTGCCATGTGCTTTTGTTTTCCTTTGAAAAATCACACCAGTTGCACATCATCTAGTCTTAAGAGAAGTCACCACATATTCAAAAAATATGCATTTAGTACCTGTCATATTTAGTTCAATAATTTAACAGTGCTATTACAGAAAAAATATTCACCCTAGGTTTTTTTTTATTTACAGCTTCAAAATCATACTTGAATAAATTATAGTGAACACTATGTTTCCTCACTTTCACCAAGTTTAAAAACAAGTCCCTGCAGATAAATTGTTTTGTTTCCACTTCTATTATTAAAAATATATTAAATAGAATGATTTCAAGTGTTCTGTTCTGGATGATGGATAATGCTTTATTACATCTCAGTGAAGTTGTGAAAGCTGATAATGATTTAAACTCATATTTCAGCAATAAATTGGACTGCTCCTGGAATATGTTTGGATGCCCAACCAAATGGATAATTTATCATACCATTCAGCATTAAAAATTTACTTAAAAGCCACCAAAACTTTTAACTAGATCCAAACCTCTAAGCCGAGACCCTTGAACTGCTAGGAAAAAAAGAACTTTTAAAAATACTTCTGGTGTGTTCAGTACTCGGCTTCTGCTCAGATTTTGGCTAACCTGCTGGTGAGGCCTGATGGATGCTGGGCACAGTGCCAGTAAGTCAAAGCAAGGGCACAAGTAGGCAGACAGGTGGCCTGAAAGAGCTCAAGAGCCATTACAACCATTGTGCACCATTATCACCAGCAAACCTCTGCCTTCTGTCATCTTTCCTGCTGCAGTTTCCCCAGAGTCCGCTGACTTATAAAAAATGGTATAGGCCAAACCTCCAAGCTGGAAGGTACAAAATATCAGCTTGCCCAAAAAGCTTTAGAAGTAAATCCAACTGAAGCTGAGGCCTTCCTGCTGCTTGGTGAGATAAAGGGAACACTTGTACTGTGATAGAGAAGAAGGGATAAGCTGTCTCTTACCCCTAGCAAGGTTTTATTTTTTTAGTTTTGCTTGGGGGCATATAAATTAAGAGATATAGATTATAAATTACAAAACCTTATAGCTTGAATGGTGAATAAATGAATTAATGTGATAGACTGACCTGGACAAAAAGGGGATTGAGCCCCTCTTTGTCGTGTTTGTTATAGATCTTAATGAGCTCATGAAACAAAGTTTAAATCACAGAGTACATTGTCCTGTAAGTCTGAAAGACCCAAACAGACTGACACAGCAATTAAACTCAGGATATTCAAGGCAAGGAAAAACAGATTTGGAGTTCCAAGAAAAGAAGGTTTGAGGTTTTTTTGGTTGGTGTTTTTTTTATCTGAGAGGGGGATTTGGTGCCAGTTATAAGAACAAACTGGGTGAGAATTCTTATGAGCCATTCCTTATGGGACATTTTGCTTCCCATCAAACGTATGCACCCTATAGCGCAGGCTTCAGGCCAAATATTAGAGACACCTGAAGATGTCCTGTTGAGCAGCTGTGCTGGCAGACCACTGCATTCTCCATCATTTTCAGTATCTAGTCAGTTTGGAGAGGGAAGGGGAAGCCTGCTGAAGAACACAGTATATCTCCTCTGGACTATCTTATTGCTGCCAAGGCAACTCAGTGAAGTACATTTATCACACCCAAAGTTTCAGACACAAACCAGCTGCCCTTTGGAGGGCTTTATAGTCAAGGCCACAGAGCATTAGAGACAACACAGTCACATGGGAATAAGCAATTGGTTTTGCTACTGCCAGCTGGGTTGAAAGCACAATGGAGCCTGGATTTCACATAGAATAGTATATGTTAATCCAGTATTTTCACCAGTGTTTCATACTATTTTATTGTGCAACTTTCTTATAAAACTTCCTCCCCAACAGTTTCTGAATGGACCTTCCTCTCACTTGGATGAAAACATACCCATTTCCTCCATAAAGAGCTAATAAAATGAGAGCCCCTTGCCTCATATCATTCATCTCCCTCCACACAGGGAGCATACAGGATTAGCAAAGCAGACATCTATTCACATTTAGCTACAATGAATGCAGCCTTTAGGTTCCCATCAGCATCTTGTCTCCTGCCTACCACAATTTTCTGGTCTTGAAAACTGGAACCAGGACCTCATTGGTTCAGTTCAAAATACACCTACTGACGTTGTCTTCTGTTTGGTTTGTGCACATCACGCTCTCCTTCACATTGCAAACATGCTCCTGCTCCAGACAGCTCCTGCACACATCCTCCCCTGAAATGTGCCAGACATCTTCCTCTATGTCACGACTGGCAGATGTCAGGTGCCAAAAACACTGGCACACATGGCATATCAGGTCTGTTACCTCTCTGAAGGTGACACAACACATTCCTTCACATTGTGAAACTTAAACCTCTTGCCTAATGGATGCCAGAAAACTTAATCATCCTAACAAAAACAAAACAGACAAAAATAGACAGCTTGTTATACCAAATAAAAAGCTCCATCTCACCTCACTTTTTCACCCCCTTTATTGCTTTATTCAATATCTAATTTGGAAGTTCTTTGGTCTGGCACTGATCACAAGGCACAGTGGGGCCTTCAAATACTTAATGCAATGGCACAATCAAATCCCAAACTACATTTCTTCTTATTTCATGAGTTATGCCACACTGACAAGTACTTGATAAGAAAGTTAAAGGCTGCCACATGGAATTCTCAAAACAAGCCAAAAAGCAGGAGGTTACAATATGCCCTTCATCATACCAGCATCTAGCAAATTCGGGAAAAATGTCCAAATAATTTGATTATTCAACTATGAGCATGGACTGAAGCTCAGATTCTCAGCTAGAGCTATAATGACTCATTTATGCAGTATATTATCTTAGCCATCATTCAGAAAGTAAGTTTTGCTCTGGAAATTCAAATATCACTGCCATTCATTTCTGGGGGAATATTTGGTCTCTGATTTCGATGGTGATGCAACTTATATCTGAATGAGAACTATACTCAAATCTAAGCTTGGTGTGAACAGATTATCTAGTTTG